TTTACCCTATAAGAATGCAAGCTTGATGTCTGCCTTAATATAGTAATAGTCTAAGATAGTTATAAGTATAAAGAATAGGTAGATAGTAGCTAGCTTTATAGTAGGTAAAAATATCTAGTTAAAGTCTACTCTAAGTATCTAGATATAGCCTTTAGTAATCTATCTTACCTTAAATTAGATAATCTTATTATTAGTACTAATCTTAATCTTATAGACCTAATACCCCTTAATAGCCTTATAGCTAGTAGGTAGAGCCTTAAGTACCTAGATGCCTTACTTAATAAGATTATCTACTTTTACTTTTATAGTATTCTATTAATTATCTACTTTAGGAGAGTTAATTACCTCATAGAAGGAAGAAGGCTTAATAATATTAGTATAATTATTACTAATATATATATATTTAGTAATAATATAATTCTATATATACTTCTCTATAGCCTTAGTATTAATATAATACACCCCCTATTCTATAAGCTAAATTACTTCTAGCTAGAAATGCTCTAGAAGGTCTTCTACTAGCTTACTAAAAAGACCTCTATATAGGAAGTTAATATCCTTAGTAATACTAGGACCTATCTCTATATATATTTATAGTATAGGGATGCTATCCTCTAGTCTAGGTAGATTAGGTATAGTTAGATCCTAGCCTTTAATAATATCTTAATTTAAATTATTATTACTAATAACCTTATTTAGATTATAGTTAGTAGGTGGAATAGCTAGTAGATTAATAAATTTACTATAATTATTATCTAGATTACTATAGAGATCTAGATTACTTCCTTTTTTAAAAATAATATTATAGATATATTTAACTTTATTAGTTACTAGTATCTAAATAATATATTACTTACCTAAGCTAGTGTAGCTAACTAAATAGTAGTAAATAATATATAAATTAATTTTTATAATATCCTACTTAGATTTAATTTTATTAGTAATAGTAAGATATCTAACTAAACCTAAGATCTATAGAGAGCTGACATCTGGATGTTTACTAAAGTATATTTTATATAGAGTTATATTCTTACCTTAAATAAGTAAGATATTCTTAATTAGAATAACTCCCTTTATAATTTCACCCTAGAGTTTACGCAGAATGATTTTATTATTAATAATAGTATAAATCTTTATTAGAATAGTGCATATAAGATATTCTATAACTAGATTCTAGCTATAAGTATATAGTACTATAAGTTCCTATTTAATTAATTTAGCTCTAGCCTATACTTAATTCTCTTTCTTAATAAATTCTCCTCTATTATTAGTATAGATAATTTATACTTTAATACCTGCATACTCTTCTTCTTTAATAAAGAGCTTAATAAGTAGTATTACTTAGTATCTATATTTAAGTAATTAAATAGTAACCTAGCTATTAAATTAATCTATAATAATTATCTAGTAGTGAGCTCTGGTAATATAGTTATCTAGTATATTATTATAGCTACTACTAATATTAATAAAGATGTACTCCCTATATTACTTAATAGGAGATATAGTAATATGCCCCTTATAAACTATTATATTAGCTATTATATAAGATTTATAGGCATACTTAGGAATTAATAGTCCCTTAATATCTATTTTATTAACTATTTTAGATACATAAATAACATTAGGAATTAATAAATGCGCAAAATAATAGTACTAAGTTATTAAATTAATCTTATCTTTCTTTAATATATAGATACTAGTATAATTATTATATAGTAGATCTAAAATAAGTATATATTACTTACTTAGGACCTCTTATCTAGTCTAGATATAAGTTTTAATATTAGAATAAGGTTTTACTAATTCTTACTTAGCTTACTTATAATCTTCTTATAGCATGTAATCTTACTAAGAGAATAGTTAATTATTACCTCTCTTAGGATAGTAAGAGAATACTATTAGCTATATCTTAAATAATATATCTAGCTTAGTTAGTTTAATTAGCTTATTAGCCTTAATAGCAGTGTTGCTTCCCATAAAGTAAAGAATATAGGTATTCTAGATAATATCTCTATATCTAATAATTATTTTATCTAATAGGTAAGTAATAATAATACTATCTAGTAGAAGATTAACTCCTAGATCCTTATAGCCTAATTAAATAGTGCCTAGAAGGTTGACTGCCACTTCAGGGATATAGAGAATATTAGTAATAATAATATATCTAGTATATCTACCTAGATGTGTAAGATATAAGATAATATCTCTAATAGAATTAGAATATATAACCTACCCTATTACTATCTTAATACCCTGTTTGCATAGCTTCCTTAAGCTATCTATAAAGTTTATAAATATTATAATAAAGTGTTTAGTAGCTCCTGAGTTAATAATCTAGTTATTAGCACTAGTATGCAGGCATAGAGCTAGATTAATAGTAATAATTACTATCTATATATCTTTAATATCTTATTTATTTAGTTTAGAGGTAAGGATACTATTATTATTAATTAAATTATTATTATTAGTAGGGGTAAGGACTCTATTATTATTATTATTAATAGTATAGAAGGTAAGCATTATTTCTTTAAGCATTAAGGTAATTAAATACTAGCTATTAGATATCTTATTATCTATGCCTATTATATAAGCATAATTATAATTATTAGATTAATTAGATAAAGACTTCTTATTAGACTTCTTATCTAGATTTAACTCCTAGTAGTTAGGCTTCTTATAGCCTATTTTACTGTAATAGTGATACTTCTAGTTCTTCCTAGTTTCCTAGGGAACCTTGCTGTTAGAATCTTTCTAGTTATTTAAATTAAAATTAGACTAATTTAATTAGTTTAATTTATCCTTAGAATTACTACTCTTCTAAGCCAGCTTCTTTCCTTTCTATGCTTTTATAATATTTATAGATAATATATTAAACTTTATATATATCTCCTCTTAGATTAGAATCTACATAATACTATTAAATGTAGTGGTTCTCTTATTATAGTAACTATTAAAATAAGATATAAGAAATATCTCCTATATCTTACTAAGATTATAAAGTAAGAATTAGATCTTAATAGATTTAGAAAGCTACTTACCTTTCTTAAGGCTATAATTAAATTTATTAAGTACTTATAATAGTTTTAATATATAATCTTAGATTCTATTATAGCTATTATATACTATATTTATAGCTATCTACAGCCCCTTAAAAGACTAGATATCTACTATTATATTATATTTTATATTAAGATAGTCCTAAATAGCTTTAGATAATTCTAAATTAATTACTTTATATCTAATAGTATAAGATAAGGTAGAATAAATAGCTCTATAAACCTTATTATCTATCTTCTCTTAATCTTAAATAGCCTTTTTAATTCTCTTCTACTACTTAGTAAGCTTAACTTTATCTAATAATCTAGTTTAATAGCCTGCTTCTAGTAGCTCTAGCTTCTTATAAATTCTATTTATAGTCTACTAAACACCCTAGCTATATAGGTATATTTTTATAGCTTTAGACTATATTTAATAGGAATCTATATCTATAAGTAATAGTAACTTATAGAGATCTACTTAAGGTATCTTAAAGGAAGATTTTAATAAAAGAGATAAGGTTTTAGATACATCCCTTAAGGGAATAAGGTTTTAGATATATCTAAGGGTAACTGCTAGGCTTCTACATCTATAAGGATTCTTAAATATAAGAATCTTTTACAGGGCCCTATTAATAAAGGTAATAAAAGGATAGTTTCTATCTTAGGCAGAATATCCAGCCTAGATAAATATTTTAGGCAGAATATCCACTAAAAGAGGCTTTTAAAAGTAAAAAGTAGTAAAATAGCTTAAGGAAAGAACTTAGGAATAATTCCCTAGAGCTCTCTAAGAGGCTCCAGGCTCATAACCTATAGAATAAGTAGAGAGAGGTTCAGAATATAAAGATATTTCATTAATTTATTATATATATAAATCTATGTTTACTATTATATAGTGGAAGGAGCTATCTACTGAGCAAGATCATGTGATCAGATCTCCGCCATACCGAGTATGGCCACAATACGGTTGCCTACAATGTCATCAATTTAATGACTGAAAACTATTTATGATGCCTGAATATAGACGCGAAAATGTTAGTATTAGCTATCTGCAGTATATTCACGCAGTTACAACGGAAGGTAGATATATATATATACCTTAGCAGTCGATATCCAACAATCCAAGCGCATATAAATCTAATACTAAGCTAATTAAGAAATGTATATCTGGAAATAATGACATGAGATTCTGATTGTCAGACATCCGTGGAAGTAGTGGCATTGGTTGTGCACATGAGTTAACCAACACCCTCGGATCCAAAAATCGCTGCCCCGCGATAGACAACCCAGATACACCCCGTAATGCAGAGACGGGGACATAGTACGGAGTACCAGACATTGTGATACGTTTGCCTATGTTCATGAGACACAGACAGACCGCCTAGCCCTTTAGTTGGGACACTCCGAAAATCATGAGTAAGTGGCGTATTCTCAAGAAACTTAAAACATTAAGATTCTCTCACATCACGTTGTTGCGCCAGAGTCAAGCCAGGCCCAGCCAGACCTTCGCAGGGCAACGGCTCTCTTTGGTCGTCTCTGGGACTCCGATGACAATGAACCATGGCTGGTTGCACTTATCGGGTGATCCTGCGGGGCCTATCCGGGAATCATTGAGAGATAAGCTACCAGCGCTTCGGAGAGGGTATGTTTATGCGTCCTCCGATGACCGAAGGTCACGGAGCCGGTTATGAGGTGGTGTGCTTGTCTCTGTCCCGCCTCGGTGCAGTTCGTCCTGCCGCCTCGTGAGGCGTTTTTGCGGATGATTGCTCGTTGACGAGCGTCGGTGATAATATATTAAATCTCCTGCGAGATGCCTCTGGCGCGAAGCACAGGAGCCTGCATTCCTTGTGAATCTACTAAATTTGATAAAGGCTGTGTGTCAAATCTCACTTATGTAAGTTTTTTGATCCCGTATGCTGGTATGTGGCTGACTTCACTCAAGAATGATCTTTTGACAGAGGTACAATGGAAACATTACTCCCAGATATTCCTTGCCATTCTGGAAAGCACATTGCTGGGGCTCGAAAAGGGATTCAGCTCAGTTTTGCACTACTCGAGCCCGTTGTATTTTTGCAAGGGCACAGCACACATAGCAGTGCCTGCAAAGACAAGGCGACCGTCGTCCGGGGGTTTCTACATATGAAAGTCACTGAACGGATCAAAATCAAGCGGATTTCTATCTACTTGCGCGGGCTGGTTAAGTTAGAGCTATCGGATGGTATGCCGTTTTTTCATCGTATGATTGAAGCTCGCCAAGATTTTTACATATGCTGACATATTTCCTCTACTGGACCAGTTGAGCTTGTGGGAAATAGAGATCTGATCACGTCTGGTATCACCTACTTCGACCGCGGGCAGACAGCTCAAATAGGCAATGTCTATGGAGTAGACATATGTCACATACCGGACCAATCTGGCACAGATACAGAGAGAGACCAACGCGCCAAAAAGACTGCTCAAACGTTATGGAGGGGTCAATCTCTTCCTCCCGAGTATAACATTGGTAGCAGCTTACAGCAGCCTAGAATCTCGGGGGCCGTCAGCAAGAGCGCTATATTTCCCGTGGATGATTACCTGTATAGCTTTGAATTCCTCCTACACAACTCCCTTCCGGAGACCATCAATACCGAGCTGATATCTACCCGATATTATCTGGAAGCTATGATCGAACCATCTGGCCCATTCTCTTCAAAGATGGTTTCTCAGCTTGATGTCCCGGTTGTTCGACTGCCAGCAGAAAACTCCCTGGAGCTGATTGAGCCGATCATTTTCTCCCGCAAATGGCGTGAGCAGCTCGCGTACGATGTTTGCATTTTCGGAAAGTGTTTCCCTCTTGGCTCGCAGATACCAATCAGGGTAAAATTGACCCCGCTAGTCAGCCTACGATGTCACTGGATCAGAGTATACGTGTCCCAGCACGTACAGCATCGGACAAGGGGCCAAACAGGTCGCTTTTTGCAGCTGCCGACGAAAAAAGTACTTCTGTTCGAAAAGCAGGCCGGGCTTGCAAGCTACAGCTCCTACCCAGGCAGCACCATGCGAATCACGACGGCAGAGGGCACAGCAAGACTCCCAGGCATGCAAACAACGAATCTGCTAGGGGACGAATCGGAAACCTCTGACATCAAATTGGAGATACAGCTGCCTCGATGCCCGGAAATGAGGATCAAAGGAAAAACTCAGTGGCTTCACTTCAGTACCAAGGACGGCAGTCCGGAGGTGAATCATTGGATCCAGGTAAGAAATGGCGAGACACATCATGATGCGATGCCAAGCACACTTTATGTTCTTAACCCTGAATGCTGACTCACAAGCAGATTGTTTTGTGCCTTTCAACAGCAGACCAAGACCGTATGGGCTCAAACAAGGCTCGGCCTGTGGAATTGACGATCGAGTCACCTTTTACTATTCTGTCCTGCAAGGCTACCCCGGCAAATATCTATGTTCCACCATATGAGGCCGAAGGTGCTATCAAAGTGACTGCGTCTCAAGAAGGTCAATGTGGGTGTGGCCAAAGTACTCGGTCAATATCGCTCGCGTCGAGGCACGAAGCAGAGGAACCTGACACCGAAGCGAGGGACAATTTGACGTCCGTTAAAGGACAATTCCCGAGAGATATTACGCAGCCGCTCAGCTTCGATAATATGTCCAGTGACATCAAGCAGCCCGCTCGAGCCCATTTACCCGATTGGGGACTTCCTTCTGATGTACTTCACCGGCGACGTGATCCGTATAGAAGCAGGCAATGGTACGGCGGATAGTGTACAGTGTTCTGCGTAGGCTCTTTGATGCGGCACATCAAACTGCGACCTGATTGTTTGGTTGCTCCTCCGCCCGCCTGTTGCCTGCTAGTGCGTGCCCGGAATGCTTAGCAGCTTGGTATAATTTACCTGTTTAACCAAGAAGAAACAAACCCTTCTTTTCCTCCTGCCTCACCATGTCACACTCATCTAATAATGGTATCATGCAAAGAGTCCACATTTTCCATACAAATTACAGTTGCCTGCAGTGGCACTTCTGATATGCACAGTCTACTGACTACTGATGCTCCTAGCCCAAACTACTACAAGTTCAGTCACCAGTGAGGGTTAGTTCTGATTTCTGCAGTTTGGTTATGCAACTCTATACCTAAGTAGCATACAGTCCTCTTAACAAAATCCATTAGCAGGCTAATCATAATAAATATAATAGGGTTCCTCGGTTACCTAGCAGTGTCTAGGTCTCCAGGATCCATAATGGGTATAATTAGATATAGCTTAACAAGTCGAACAGAATGATGCCTGAATAGTCTAGCTAGACATCCAGGAGAGCATGTGAGACAGATGCAGCGGCCAGAGTCAGAGCCTGGGAAGTGGTGGGATGCATAGCCAAGACCCTCCTAATGGGGGCCATGAGAGCTGGCGTATAGATTCAGATATAGCCTGGAATTACACATTAAATAGTAGTAAGGGTGCCATATAAAGTTATGGTTTAGTGGCCGTTAACAACCTCATCTCCCTAATAGAATGCTACCTCCTTGACTTTTGACACTCCAGTCCCAAATGTTCCAAGTTAACCTGCTCAAAATTAAGATGTTGAGATTTCAAATCCAACACGTACTTTGCAATTTAACCTCATCTGCTTGTTTATTAGTGGTAATAAAACGGTTACTGCCAAGCAGGTTTGTGTGGGCTCAATGGTAGAAGGAGACTCTTTTGGAGGGAGGTCTCTCGATCTTTCTAGTGATTTGAACTTAGCTCTTCTGTGTTGGACTGCACGAGCTGGGCTTTGCATTCCTGCTTTTCTGTTTTGAGCTCCTCAAGTCTCCTCTCGTGTACTTGCTCCTCCGAACGGATTTGCTCCATTCGTGCTTCAAAGTCCCCCTGAACTGTCGTAGATATGTCGAGCTTTGCTCGACATTGCTTCTCAGCTCTTTCAAGCTGTTCAAGGCGCACCTTACAGTTGAGTTCTTCATTCTGAAGTTGCTCAAGCCGTTCTCGTGACTGTTCAACTCGCTCTTGGAGATCTTGCTCGTCTGCTGTAAGTCGCTCAACCCGTTCTTGTGACTGTTGAACTCGATCTTGGAGATCTTGCTCATCCGCGGTAATTTGCTCAAGTCGCGCTTTGAACTCTTGTTCTTCACGTTCAAGTTGCACAAGGTCATCTTGAAGTTCTTCCTGGTCTGTTCCAAGCCTCAGAAGTAAATTCTGCAGTTGTTGTTCCTGCGCGTTGAGCTGCAGAACATGTGTGTGGCGCTGCTCTTCTTCTGACTCAATCTGGCCCAATTGGCTTTCCAATTCCCACGCCTCCGGGCAGCCATCCCACACTTCTTTCTTTCTTGATCTGCGCCTTTTGATTACAGACCATATGCTGGAAAGAAGAGTAAATAGTCCAATAAGGAAAGGAACAAGTTGACTAGTATCAGCCAGAGAGGCGTCCATCTCGATTTTGTTTCTTCGCAGCGTCCGTTGCACGCAAACAAGGCCAAAAACTCCAGCGAGCCCTGTCACGATTCTGAAAGTGAGCCACTTCTTTCCTTCGAAGGTTGCGGTCTCAGTTCCCCGATCTATAGTATCAGTCCAACCATTTGCAGTATCTGGGTCGTCTTTTGTGTTATCGTGCTTTTTTGGGGGATTGAGGCCCTTGGTGAATCCCGAGACGACTAGGCGTAAAGCCAGGATGAGAAAACAAAACCCGGCGCAACATGTCACAATTGAGAAGGGCTTGACCAGCGTTGGCCACATGTAGAGGTTCCCGAAGGCGGCTTTTGGATCACAACTTGCCCTGCTTCCTTGATGTAGAGTCCCAAAGGCCAGCCATGGCTGACAACCGAGGTATATCGCGTACCATAAAAGAAATAGTCCGAAGCCAATCTTGTCCTCAGTCCAACCCTTGGTCACAACAGCTAGCGCGACAACGGACGGTATGATGACCACCAGCGAAAAGACGATATACCATTCAAGCATAGCAAAACTGCCGCCCACAGTGTTGCGGAAGGTGTTAATAATCACTGCTAGTGTGACAATGTTAAAAGCTTTTCTGCAGTCGGCAACATCCTCGGGGCTGTTTGCAATATATGCCACCAAACCAGCACCATAAGCTAAATAATAATTCAAACGGACTCCAATTCCATAAATATCAGTATCGCCAATGATGTCACATGAGTTAGGATTATCGGCGTAGCGTGTGAATTGTAGAGAGTATGGTATTTTGTATAGAACCAAGATGGCAATAGCAGAAGTGTGATGTAGGTTAGACAATCCTACATGGTCAACTAGCAAATCTAGATACTCGTTTGAGCAACATTACTTACCCATCCTGTTTGGTGCTATGCTATCAGGACGGTAGGAAAACAGTTAAAGATTTTGGAGCTAAGCTATAATGCCAGCTACTTAGAGCTCAAGTAAAAAGGCCAATGGGTCCTTGGATTAGTGAAAGTAGTATTGTGATATACACATCATAAGATTAGAGGAGTATCTGAACTTGAAATATTAGAGACAGCAATTTGTATAAACCTAGGAATATGGATATGACTATCATACACGTCATATAGAAATCTCAGATCCTCAGACAGTGTTTCACAGCACCATCCATTAGAGTTAAAAAGTCTACCGAATCTACGTGTCAAGAGACATGATCCTGTGCAACGTGTATGTTCTAGACTCTGTATACTGTGTATCAGAATTCTAATTGTTGCAAAACTATTGGAAAGTCAAGAAGCAAGGAGCATATGAACCTAAAATAGGCTTGAATGACCTAAAGTTTAGAGAAGGGCTGGTGCATATTCTTAGTGGATAATCTCAATTTCTATGCATTAGATGCCAACCGTGCAGGAAGGCAAAGGTATGCGGAAGCTGTGTCTCTTTCGAACTTAATAGTCATCGTAGTGACTGTGGTATTCTACCTTAGGTGCGATGCAAGCGAGAGAAACAGGCAAAATGGTATGGCGAATAGCTTTTCCTCATGTCACCCGCTTGACAATGCTTCTTGGTCATGTCAAACGCATGACCTTCCTTATCCAATTTCTCCATATTTTCCCATTCTTTGGGTGCAATCTTTCTTTGATTTGCTGTGACAAGACCCTGCTTATTCCTATGAAACTCTTGCCTGGATAGAGAGTGAATATACCCTTGTTAGATCATACATTCTCTGCCAGTTCTGTCCCTCGAATCTGCATTTTTCTATCTCTCAAGGTTCATTCAAGGGTCTGTGAAGTTTCAATTTGGCTTGCTAAATATTATTATTAGGTGGTCCGTGGACGTGGCTGAATTAGAGTCTAGCCTTCATTCTCTGGGAAATAAGCAACTGTTTTTCTAGGCATTTAGAGACGCACACTATGTTAAAAGTATATTCACGCAGATATCATCACATCACCTCTCGCAATGTGGGGTGACCTATCAAACAATTGACGGGGCGAAGCCGCGCTCTTTCCGTGGTCTCCAGTGATGATGAACCATGGATGTCGTGGTTGAAGTGAACGGAGACTTCTACCGAGCTGGATATCTTACCTGGGTACAAACGAGAGACTGGCTAGCCAGTTACAGAACCAGGAAAAGCAACCTTAACCGAACTGGCTGAAGTCTAAAATACCACATCTTGGACAAGTTCACGAAGAGCGCCTTTGGACTCAATCAGGGGAGTCTAGGTGATATTCGGACTTGGCTGACATCATGAGTCTCATCCCGCATTTACTACCTTAGTTGGAGGATGAATAAGGATGAATATTGAAGACCTTGGGCTCTTGCGAACGCTGATGATGACGCCGAATTAATCATGTATCTGATGGTGAAAACCTTCGAGATCCGATGCAGTCAGCCATGAAACCGCAAACTGTGCTGCGCGCATCCTGCGAACCGTGCAGGAAGGCAAAGGTATGCAGAAAGCTGTGTCCCTTTCGGACTTAATAGTCGTCGTCCTGACTGTGGTATTCTACCCTAGGTGCGATGCAAGCGAGAAGGCGAGGGTTGTTCGCGGTGCAAGCAGCGAGAGCAGAAATGCGAGTTTTCGCCTTCCTCCCGGAAGCGAATCGTCAAGGGACAACCCAAACCGCATCGGTGAGGGCAAGGAACTATTGTTCGTTTGAATTATTGGACTGATGCCCAGGTTGACTCACATAGCGATACTATCGATGAGATGAAAAACCGGCTTGAGAGAATGGAGTCGCTGTTACTCGCAAGAAGGCGCTCATTAGTGGATGGTAAGCGCGCCAGCTCCTCGTTGGGCGAAAGCAAGGAGGATGATGCATCATACTGCGTGATGGATCGGATCGGCTTCTCCAGTTTTATTGGTACGAGTATACTCCTTCTCCTCCTCCGGCCGGAAGCGAAATTCACAGTGTCTGGTAGGTTCCGCGTCCGGATTCGCTCTCCTATCGCCGCGTGGTCTGCGGTGGGTTTCCAGTATCACACACTCGACCGAATTGTTGGACTTTGTTTTCAACAGAGCACGAACATACATGCTGGGCTGGTCGGAGGAGATGATAAGCACATGGCAACATCTCAGGCCAGACGATCAGACGCCACTCCCACCTAAAGGTTCCGCCATTCTCGCGGTTAATTGTCAGACCTTCCCTGTCAGCTCTTGCTTACGCCACCCATCATTAAGCTGACACTTGTGCAGACTTCTTTGCCTACGTAAACTCCACTTTACCCCTCTTTGACCAAAGGAGGTTTATGGAACGTTTCAACTCGCAGTACTCAGACGATCCTCCAACGAGCGTGGCCTGGTATGCCTCACTTAATGCCGTACTTGGTATCGGCGCACTCGTCTTGGAAGATGAGATAGGCGTGTCGTCGACAGTGCTACATCCCAGGCAGAATATCGAAGGCCGGGGCCATGTATTCAGCTGTCTGCGGAATTGCTATTCTGTCTTCATCCAGCTCTCCTATAGCTGCAGAGAGGTTATGGGAGTCCAAGCCCTGATTGGAATGGTGTGTGTACTCTATAGAAGCCATGGATGACTGCAGCTGATGACATTCTCGTGCTATAGGCTATGATCCTTGAAACTCTGCTAGACGTGGAGGCCGGTTATATGGCCATTGGCTCGGCGGCACGACTTGCACTTGGCCTGGGGTTGAATCGCGATTGCGACGCGGAGTGCTCCACTGGCGAAGTTGAGGAACGGCGCAACGTCTTCTGGGTTTTGTACGTCCTAGAGCGAGGTCTGAGCTTTCGACTGGGACGTCCGCCAACAATCCCAGACGAAGACATCCAAATCAGCGAGCCAGTAGACGGCAAATTCGCACACTTGGTGAGGTTGATGAGAATTGAGAGCGAGATCTATACCAGGCTGTACTCCGTCCGCGCTCGGGACCCAGATCGGCGCTCAGAAAGACTTGCAGCCGAAGATGAGCTATATCAGAAGCTACTTGCCTGGCAATATTCCTTGCCCTACGGAGAGCTGCGGCCCGGCCAGGTCCTCCATTGCCCGAATCCAGAGCAGCTTCCGTCCACTATTTCTCTGCACGCCGAGTTCTACAATTGCCAGCTAATGCTCTGGCGCCCGGAAATTGGCGCTGAGACATCTTCCTCCCCAGAAGACCCTCGTTGGTCTTCCAAGCGCATTGCATGTCTCGCCGCCGCGAGGGATACAGTCAAGCTACTTGACAGTTTACGGGAGGGCGGCGAATTGTTTCGAAATAACCTGGCGCGGTATGTTCTTCTGCACCACTATGGCGACTCCGTCCGGCTGGAGCTAGCAATGCTGACCTTCAAAAAGGCGCCTGTCGTATTATCCCCTTTGTGCCTTTCTGAGAATCTTCATCAATATCCTCCTGAATCCGCACGATCCTGGCGCCTTCGCAGACCTAGACTGGCTTCGAGTCGTGCTGAACACAATGTCCGGATCTCTGCTGACAAGCAGCTCACCGTTTGCTCTGCTGTTGTTTGAAATATTTGAGAAACTGACGAGAACTGCCGAGGACTTCCTTGTCCGCACTTTATCGGGTGAAGTGAACGAGACAGGCCCGCGGCGCGATTTCACAACCCCCGACGTTAAAGGTCATGAAGTCTCGTCCGCCATAGGCTCTTCATATGGCATCTCCAGAGGCAACCACACATTAGGCGGCTGGTGTCCGCAGCTACCTCCACCCTTTTCGGACTATCCGGTGCTCTCCTATGAGGACCCTGCTCCAACCCGAGAACAGGGACCACTGGCAAAAGTGAGCCAAATTCTTTCACAATCTGACATAGGCGTATCGGATGCCCTATTCCCTAGGTATGAGAGCATTTTGAGCGAGGTACAGGGTGCCGATTCAGGTCTTTCGTCACCGTCACTCCACCGTGGCTGGCGAAACCCTACCACGCTGCCAGATGGTTCCAGCAGCCTCGGTCCTCCGTCGTAGATTCAAATAAAAACAGCTAATTTTCCCATGGCTCAATAATGGATCGAGAATGCCCTATCTATCTCCTTGTTTATGGAGCTTGTCCAGCGTTCAGGGGTCAATGCCGGCAAGTGTAGTTATTGAGGATAAAGAAGGCGTCCGCGGCAACCATTAATTAGCCCAGGCAGAAAATAAGGGAAACTCGAAACCTCCGTTGAGGCGCATTCAAGCTATCCGGACAAGGTAATGCCTTGACTATCAGTCCGGCGCAGCCGTTCTATATATGGGGCGTATAGCGGTGCCTATGTGCAGTCTCCCCACAGGGCGACTCTGTACACCGTTGACATTAACGAATTTTATATCTCTAACGGTCAGAAAGTAAAGAGGAAGGATTTTGTGCCTTGTCCATTTGTGTATGCTTTCGCAGATGCGACCCCGTTCTAGCCATGCAAGGAGGTCTGGCTGGAGTATACTGAACAGATTTGAAGGCTTTTGCATACTCTTGTAATAGACATGCCGTCTGGAGCGCTTATCTATTTGATGAGACCTACCAATACAGTAGAACATCTTCTGGGGTACCCTGACTATTGTTAACTACATGTGGCCCCCAGCACAAAAACAGAGACTGGGACGCGGTTGCCAGTAATCCGGATATCCTCAGCAAGACTGCTGCAAACTGGATCATGTGTCACAACCCGGAGCACTATGCTTATGACAACTACGAAGGTTGTGCCCAGCATACCCTTGCAGGGAAGGCATTCCAGAACACCAATATCCCGCTGGGCTACGAATATAAGCCATGGACTGTCAAGGAGCTTATGGACGCTTCGGACAGGCATGAACCTGTCATTGACGAAGGTGATTGGTCTTATTCATTTGTATGGAGTACTTGTATCTCAATCAAAACTTCAATTGGCCCCAATGTTGTGACTGGCACATTAAGGCATATGAAACCCAGTCCAATCCTCTGACTGCTGGATAAATGCATGCATAACACTTGCCCCAGTCCAATCATAATCCAACCATACATCCTATACATAGTGTGTCAGAACGTTGCAAAAGGTGTCAGACCTGCTGGCATTTGTCAGCACTAGCTATATAGTACCAGTATGTTGCCATGGATGGCACAACAATATCAACACCCCCACTATACTGATTGGCTACACGAAAAGACCCGCCTTACTCCGCCGGCCCACTTTTGTCCGCCATGACACATAAGCTTCAAGCTGAAAAGGCACCCCCATCATAACTTCAGAATGTTCAACGTCTCCATTCTGTTCCATTCTAGCTGTAGAAGTCGCAATGTCACTCCGCAAAACTTCTTGTCGAGCATGTGTGGCTGCCAAGCGTCGGTGTGATCATGAGGCGCCCAGTTGCTCTCGCTGTCGCAAGAAATCTATTGCTTGTCACTATCCATATCCGCCTCCGCAAGCTAAGGGCGATCAGACTCTAGCACTCGATTCGCAGATAGAGTCCAGATTTGAGTTGGGTCCGACTGCCTCGGGCAGCCGCGAACTCGCCCCGGTGGAGGACTGGATAGAACAATTCACGATCGCCGATCAAGGAGACAACCTTCTTAACCCAATGTGGTTCCTAGAAGGCCCCATTACTTCGGGTCAAGGCTTGGGCATTCCTCAAGGGGCATCAGGCTGGCTTGCCCTTCCCAGCTCAGCAGATAGTTTTACTTCGGCATTACCCCGACTTGAACGCCGAGTCTTGGAGTTTTGGCCCCGTGTTCATGACAGTGAAACCTGGGGATTTTGCATGAGCACGTTTCTCGGTTACGTTGACCATTTCTTGGATACTGGTGCATTGTCATTTCTAGGGCCACTGCTCGATCACTCATCAGATCTTCCGCCTCTTCTGCGTGAAGCGTACGGGGTATGCGCAGCATATCGAGCATGCAAACACGCAAAGAAGCCCTTTTACCACCAACTTCTGAACGCAGGCGTCAATAACATGAGCCTCAGTACCCCAACTCCAAGTGACTTGCAAGGCCAATTGGACCGTATTCAAGCCTTGGTTCTTTACTATATCCTTTTTCTGGCTGGTGGCATCAACGACAAGCCGCTTCTTCGACAACTACACCGTATGTTGGCGCAGGGCACTGCCGACTTAGAGCGTATGGAACTAGCAAGTCGCCAGACAGCCCAATACAAGACACAATCGGGCTCTCACCATTCTGAAAGTCATCTGAATGACTGGTTGCTCTGCGAAAGTGCTCGTCGACTGATCATGATTTCGTATCTCGTGCGCGCTGTTCACTCCGTGATCCAGTCCCAGAGATGCGACTATATCAAATATCTGGCGGGGCTACCGGTTTCGACGAAATCATACGCGGAGCTTTGCTGGGAGGAATTCATCCATGAAAGGGAGCAAAGCTCCGCGAAATCAATCTCCGGAGTCATTTCGTATGATGAATTTGTGAGAGACTGGGAGCAAGGAGGACTTGTGCAAGTGGATGAGTTCAGGCACTTATTGCTGGTGGCGTGTAAAGGGTTGGGTTCTGTACAGGAAAGAACAAAAGAGCTGGTTGGGACCTTTGATGATTTCAGGCATACTTAGCATTCTTGAGTAAATACTTGCATATTCAATTGCAGATCTCCCCCTCGGACTAGATATGACTCGGCTCCACCCGCAGATTGCTCGAGCCTGATATCAGGCTACAGGGAACCTCCAAGCTCAGCATAAGCAGTGCGGCGAATAGTGGATCCCAATTTCTAACCGTTGCGGAGAAATATAGTCAGTCTGAGTCTTTGTCGGATGAATATGATAAGCAATTGCGGGAAAGAGTGGATCTATTGCCCGTTATTGCGGCGCACTATGTGCCAGTTCATCATGATTCACCAAACTGAAGGTTCCGAATAGAAGGACAGACGGACAGACGATCCAAATGAGTAATCCAAAACTAATTAATACACAAAAAGGCACGCCTGAAAGTATATAAAGATGTGCATTCGACGCTGAATTGCATGGTCAGAAACTCAGAGATGTGTCTGTTCAACAAAATACTTCCAACCATGCAACCCTCGCAGGCAGCTGTCATCACCCGGTCATTGGGTCATGCCGAGTTCGTCACCAACTGGCCCATCCCATCCGTCCGCGACGATGACATTCTCGTGCGCACCGTCGCCGTGGCCTTGAATCCAATCGACTGGATGCTCCTGGAGAGTACCCCATCCCCCCATGCAATCATGGGGCATGATTATGCCGGAACTGTTGTGGCAGTCGGAGACTCCGTCCGTGAGCTGTTCAAGGTTGGTGACCGCGTGTGTGGACTCGTCAAGGGTGCAGACAATACTCGGCCTGAGAGCGGTACCTTTGCAGAATATATTGTGGCAAAGGCGGCGATTCAGATGAAGATCCCAGACGGCGTCAGCTTTGAGGATGCGGCCACTGTGGGAGTGGGAGCCACTACAGCTGGACAGTGTCTGTTTGGACCATCTTGTCTCAAGCTTCAGTGGCCTGAGAATGAAGCTCATGTGGAGAATCGAGAAACTATTCTAGTGTATGGAGGAGCCACATCCGCAGGAAGCTGGATTATTCAGTTTGCTAAACTGTATGCCTATTTGCTTTTAAGTCCTAATGACATGCCACTAACTGTTGAATAGGGCCGGGTACACAATCCTCGCAACATGTTCGCCGAACAACTTTGATCTGGTTCGCCAATACGGAGCAGATGTAGTCTTCGATTATCGAGACCCTACGTGTGCCCAAAAGATCCGCGAGCACACCAACAATACCCTCAGAGTCGTCTGCGATGCTGTAGCAACTCAGGAGTCTGTGCAGATTTGTGAAGCAGCTATTGGTGATGCAGGAGGCCTGTATCACTCCTTGCTCCCAGTGCAAACCGCGCGCCCAGACGTGGAGGCGACTTTCTCAAACAGCTGTACCGCGATCGGTGAACCATTTGAGTACGGTCCTGATCGCATGGTAATTCCCAGCATGCCAGCAGAGTTCGAGTTTGCCAAGAAATGGGCTGGCATCGTTAGCACCCTCTGGTCTCAGGGAAAGATTAAGACACTAGTCGTTGAAAAGCGTGATGGGGGGCTGAGGAAGGTTCTGGATGGCCTGAAAGATTTGAAGAATCGTGCTGTTAGGGCTCGGAAGCTGGTGTACCTTGTTTCTGAGACTTAGGCCTTCCGCTTGCATATCTGTTAAAATATATAATACCACTATGAATATGGATATGAGACCCTAGACGGATGAGGACCATGTCCGGACACCCTTTTGGCCTAGTGGTATTATAATTCAATAATATCAATTCACGTGCTGGCTTTTATGTAAAGAAGAAATCTATTTTTTCACGCTTGTCTAGACGACATCCATATAAAGGGTTTTTCCTAAAGCAGAGACGCACAAGCTGTATAATGGCTCGACATTGTCAATATGTTTGGAGAAATGCTAACACAGAATAGGATAGCAAAGCGCATGAAGCCACGTCAGAGCGGCCTCTAATTCATTGTATCACTGTTGAATATATTATTCTTGATGATATACTAATATATATTCTACATTGTTAAGCACTAAGTTACTAAGGTGCAGACAGGTACGTCCGAGAAATATAGCCGACTTGGGCATTACCATGGTCATCAGTCAAGGTTAAGCCATCTTTTGGGGCGAACTACCCCATAATGCGACGCCTTATGCATATGCAAAAGTGCAGACTACTAGCATTGCTGCCGGCGTAAGCGCAGAACTATTATTCGTCCACTAGCAGACGTATCCTTGCAAAATTCGGGCATCGTGCAGAAATCGTCTGACGCCGAAATCTAGGACCACGCTCGTCCTAGAAATCTGTTAGCTTACTCGGTCCTAGATTCTGCGGCCACCCTCTCCTACCAAATTCTAGGAATCTACTCCTCATTAAACTTTGTGTTTCAGAGCCCGATAGCAGATATGCCCTTCCCTTCCACATCAGAAAACATGTCTACCAGTTAGCCCGGGCCCTGAGCTAGCCACTTGACCAGAGCGTTTGAGACTTTCAGTAGAAAATAGCCTAAGGGAGTCACTGTTAGTCTCTTCTGTTGTTACGACAGTCCCAAGGAGCTTTTGGGTGTGGATAGATGCAGCTTGCAGTGCACTGTGATGAGAGAATCTTAATTTTTCGAACTTTGATTTGTCTGGAAAAGTACTACAGCCTGTAGAGGTGACTGGGCTGAAGCACTAGTTTGATCTGTGATACTAAGCCTACGAGATGATGGCAAAAGCAGTAGTGCTCATACAGTGCTCATAGAGAGTCGCATACAGTGCATTAGTCCGCGTGCCTGAACACCCCTGTCGATTTACACCCGGGTGTAAATATGACAGGGATTGGCTGTCATAGATAGTTGATTAACGGCGCAGCACCAGCTTAGGGGATCTGTCAGGTAATCCCTGCTTTGTAGATGTGAGGATGTTGCTGGGACTATCCAACCTAGTAAACTGTTCAGTGCACTCAAACCAATACTACCATTTCTAGCTATGAAATAATGGTGCAGCAGATATCCAACATAAACTATGTGAGATAATCCCTGCATCTTGGTAAAACCTTACCATCAATCCTACCCTCAAATCTACGAAGAATCCTACAATTTCATAGATGATGTCCCACACTAACTCAAGACAAGGAGTATATAAGAAAGGTGTTTCCATGAGCAATACTCCCTCCCGCTCAATTGATTTACGTCAAATTGATTTTCCACAAGAGTCCTCTTAAACAAGCTTCGTATCTCCCCCTACAATGACATTGTCGGCAGAGGCAATCATAGCTTTGATAGCTCTTTTGATCGCTTGTGTTCCAGGTGTACGATTTATCCTCCGCCGTCACAACGCGTTCCGTCTGTTGTGGAACCGAGCCGACGGAGCAGAATTCCCACTGTCTGGTATGCATGATCATGTTCTCTGGTATCCAATGCTCCAAGCCCGTCCATTCATGTCTATGTCGCCGCGCAGGGGTCTATAATTCTACATATTACCTAGGTTTCTGACCTCGGTGTGCCTACTATCTAGATCACAACCGCTCGGATAGTCCCGAAGCACACCAGATGGACATTGTCCCCCAGAGTCAACCATCGGTCGCGATCTTGGGGGATAATGAATCCCATAATCCGGGCCACCGCACCCCATCATCTAACCCTGAGCGTCCATATGGGACATCGTCAAGACAGGAGTCCCGGACATCTCCGTTACAAATACAGGCTCAAATCATAATTGTCAGTGGAGCGAGATCCTCTAATACCAAACAAACAAGCTTTCGCTAATTCATTCGCTAACCATTTTCCAGATCTCTAACACTGATCACTCCGAAAGCGAGCCTTTAACCAATGACTATTCTGGCCGTCCCTTATCCAACGAATAGGAGCCAGTGGGAAGGGATGATGTATAAATCCCATTGATAATACCCGACCTTTGATCATATATTCTAGTAGTGGAGAGAGCGCTTCCTTTCATCCTCTGGATTCTTTGACTCGTTTAAAATGTTCAGAACACAATGTTCTGACCTTTTGCGCTTTCATTTCTGAGAAACTGTACACAAACTGAAAAGCTTTGATGTGGTTATGGTTTTGCTCCATTATGTTCTGTTTACGTTGATAGAAAGATATAGATTCTGTCATGGCTTATTGTCAATTTTAAGATATGTACTCTTATTCTCACAAGGGTATACTTCTATTGGATTGGTATTAAGTAATATCCACCGCGGAGAGCCCAAAGAAGCGACCTGCCTTGTCCTGAATCTGACTATATCATTGGACGCTATCAGAGTGAGCTGATAATGCGTGAGCTATAGATGCATCAGCTGGACCTGATACTAATAAGGCTGCTTGATGCCTGCTAACAATGCTGAACACCAGAAAACCAGCTTTGATCGAGAGAAGACAGCGCAGTCAAATGCATAGGGTATCCGTGAATTTTCACTCTTCGTAATCACTATTCCTCCTCGTCCGACCATTCATCGGAGAGCTTCCACAACAGGTCCGGATAATTATCTGGGGAGTCGATGTCCTCTGCGTTGGGAATACATTCATCCACGCCATGTATCTCCTTCAGCGAAGTTGAACCTGACTCCACCAGGGCCTTGAGAGCATCCATCTGAGGGTCATTATGCCTCCTTTTGCCCTTCTCGTATCCCCGGATGCACAGGTACTCCAGATTTGGCGGCAGATACTCCACCAAAGACACGATCTTGTTCTCATTCTCGTTGTTCACTCCTGCGGCAAAGTACAACAGAAAATTTACCCCAATGCTGAGCCGTTTCAGGGCCTCAAAGTCTTTGAGACACCCCCGCTGGTCCCAGAATGAGTTTGGGGGTGATTCAATCCAATAGGCTTGTGCCTCGGCTCGCCCATCTTCCACGTCGAAGTCGAAGTCCTCTAGAGCACGATAGATGGTGCCCAATATGTGTGTTTCGACGTCGAGATCTAACTTTTCTAGCGTGGTTTTGTGTTCCAGGACGCACAGAATAAACGTTTTCGTGTTGAAGGTCGGGTGTGTACCATTGACCGAACCCCTGCCACCGATCGAGTACTCGAATTCCTTCAAGGCTCTGCACGACCGGATGACAGGTGTCAGATAGCTTGTCGGTACAGCTGAGTGATGGATCGCGATGCAAGACACATTGGAAGATTTGGGTCCGAGTGCCGGCATCACGTTGTCATCCTCCGTCAAAGCATCAGTACCTATCCATTCAAGGGACGGAAGGTTGCGGAGCATGGCCAAGCATCCGATGAAGTCCATGGCCACATACACCCGCCCGTCGTCAAAATAGTCATCCCCCAGGTTGATCATGTACACTCTGCGAAGATTCTGCAGGTACGGTTTGTCAACCGGGTTTTCGTTTGTCTCCCTGAGCAGCAGGTCTAGGGCGCACTCGGAGTGCATAAAAGAATCTTCCCTCTCCTCGTCAAAGTCGGTGTAAAAAGTCGGCATCATGGCCATGGACTGGAGGTTGGGTGACACCGAAACGAGCAGGGCCGTCAACGCTTGCGTGACGTAGGTTGCGGGGGCACGGGTGTCACTATTCATGCATTAATGCAGAGATCGTCAATAGAGCACTGTTTTCATCTCACCTAAACGCGCCGTAAAGACGGTCCCCCACCACTGATTCCCGCATCAACATATTGAGTACACGCTCTTCTAGAGCTCCCGTGAACCCTGCCCTCTGCGTGGCATTTCGCAGCAGCCGCATATCCTCCTCATCTGGTTTCGGCTGATAAGGCTTCACGTCGTACACGCGATACCGCGAAATGGTCTGCCTATATTCAATATGACGCACATAGCGACCCAAACTGGGTTTTCTCAAAATATCCATGAGCATCTTGAAAGCGCGATCAAGATTAGCAATACTCGGGGTGATGCGCACACGACGGTATTTCTTCCGATTGGACATGTCGCAGAGCGAATGTAGAGCTTTGCATTGTGAAGAGAGTGCGGCCACATCACGATTCGACTCGAGGTGGAAGATAATCCGATGATGGATCTCTGTAGGTAGAGTGGTGAAACCAAGCATTTTGTTTGTTGTTCACTCACTTCCCTCTGAATCAGACACCGTGGAAATTGCCGATGAACTGGGGGATTGAGCCCCTTTACGTGGTGGTTTTAGCGTCTGTAATGCCTTTAGCGTGGACATCCCGATTGTGGCTGCGCTGCCTGGATCGCAGGGCTTGACATTGGGGCCGAAAGTGCTGTGGAGATTGGGGATATTTTTAATGAAATTGAGTTGAGCTACGGAGTAGTGGCACGATACATAGGAAAAACTAAGAGGAAAAGATAGTATCTGTGGTTGGTCGGCTTTAAGTAAGGAAATATGAACGATATATATTTCCCGCCTCCTACCTGATAATGTAAAGAACATCAATATTACTGAAGGTACCTCTACCACTACAGAGTGCAATAATGTCTTTAGAGTGTGTTTAGACGTACCTTGAGCCTGGCATTGCTGGCTCCTGGGATAGTCTCCTTGGCGACAGCTTTTCTCCATTCAGAAGGCGTTGCCGGAACATCAAGTGGGATATGCTTTTGTCATTTTGTCCTGTCTATGATCTGATTCTTGAGGTGAGATTACTGTCGGGAGGTGTCGATGGGGGTTCCAAACAATTATGAGACAAGGTTTATAAAGCAATGCAGACGGTTGCAGTTCTTTGCATTCATTATGTTAGGGTAGTGAGAGATGAGGCTTAAGAGTGAATATCCCTTTGTCTTTATAATTCCAGTCTCCCAACAGTCCATTGAAAGACGCTCCAGCGGCACAGGCTTCAGAAAACAAGTAAACAACGTTTGAATCTGCATACAGATGTGGAAAAACGTAATTGAATTGGGTAAATCTGCAACAAGGCCAAGCAGACGGCATCCGCATGCCACCTCACTCAGCGTCAAGGTTCGCTTCGTGCAGTTGGCCAAGGAAAACGAAAAGAGATTCGTCAAGTGCAACAGACTCTTCATCAGTTGGGGCCTCCAAAAGTTCATCCTGGTTTTCGAGAATGGGTTTAATGGGAAGATCGGACATAGGCTAGAATTAAAGAGTTAGTCCCTGCACCTCAAATACCGCACTGTTGGAACTCGTGGAGATCAATTTCTACTGAACTCACCTTCCAGCCAGTGGAATATGCAATGTGCTTGCCGATATCTCGATAGGATTCCCAGTTACTCTGCTCCTTTGTCTCATTGACAAACTGAGAGATTGAGTCGTGATACTAAAATTCTTTGTTGGCTCAATCACGGAAGACACTATAATGATATACTCGCTCACCTCTTGAATGGCAGCGTTCGCCTCAGGCGTATCCGCATTAGATTCTTTTGGGATGTTCTTATGAGTAGCTTTGTGTCAATATATAAATTGATTTGGCCAATGGTGTGAGAGCGCACCTTATTTAGGATATCGATGATCTCCCTCAGTGACTTGTCATAATCTTCGGCAGATGAGGCAATGTCGGTAATGTCAAATTCAAGATCGCGGGGGTCAGGTGGGCCCCCGTGGACAGGCTGATGGCGACGTAAGATCTTAAATGTCCTAGCAGCCAGCTGTAAAACGTCAAAATCTTGTCCTTTGGGGTGGGATGGGATAGGAGCTTCGTACTTTGACGGCCTTTGTAACTCCGAATATTATACGCCACGGCTTTCCTCTCCACGAAAAGTAGTCCCAGAAATGGTCGTCAAATGATAAATGGCTGATGGCTCTCACCCCCTCAAAGACCTTATACGAGTACCAGTAACAGTTGTACCAGGCGAGACTGTAACGGGGGTGAAGTTCATGTGTCTTTCTGAGCAATCGTGCAAGCTCTTTGACCCCGAATTTGCCCTTCTGAAAAGAACGCGTGGCTAAAGGGAGAGGTAAATCTCCAGCTGGACCGCTGGAATTGCCACTGGAACTGCCGCTGGAACCAATTGCAACTGCGTGCGAGCGGTAGAAACAGTCTTCCGGTTTCCAGTTCTCATGGTAGCCTTTGGTGGCTGACCATCGGCCAACGATAACCTGGTCCTGGTCCGTTTGACGTTCGACGATCAAACGAGTCCATGTATCGGTGGCCTCATCCTCCACGATGACATTTAGATACTCATGGAGAACACTGGATTCCAGATTTTTGACATGGGTGAAACGACGGACGAAGCAGTTTTTGTAAGTACCTGGGTGTTGGGTGATGTGACTTTCCCAATTCAGCACATTGATTACCCTCTCGGAATCCTCAAATATATTGGGAATGCTGGGCTTGCTCTGAGAAGACATAGTTGACAGTCAACGGGACAATGTATTCAAGATTTTCAGGAACTCGGGCGACGAAGCAAAACGCGAATATCTTTAGAATGGGCGAAATGAAGAGGTAGACAAGGCCTATTTATGCTTTTCCTGACCCCTCTTTTAGTATAACCAAGTTCCTACATTACCATTTCCTTCTGAACAAACGAGGTGGAGTACAGCTCTTCTTCGGACATAAGTGTAATCAATTGCTATTGCCTTGAAATGCACTGTAAAGTGGTCATAGACTACCACAGCAAGTTGCCCAGAGCTTCCGTCTGATCACTGCTTATGGGGCAACGTAACCAAGTAGCGATCGACATTTTGTCGATGCGTAGAGACGATCCTGGCCTGATGCGGGCCTATAGAACGAGGCTTTTGACGCGGAATATACAAGGCAACCCTCCGTACCAAGGATTTCAGGTTCTTTGTCCAATAAAATACCCCCCATGGGTGCCCGAAGATGGCGTCCGCATCACAGCTGAACAAATTCCTTTTATCACAGCCCACGTCTATACAGTATTCCGGCAATGGTACGAACTAGCATTGTAGCAGGGATGGAATCCAGATTATGAACTCTTTACTATCTGCAGCACGCATTGATCGCCATATCAATGTGCAGTTCATTGCTCCTATTGGTCGCAAAGCATCCTCTTTGATTACTTATTAAGTTGTATGTGACTCTCAAGAGCCTTGTCTAGTCAACTACGATCCGAGTCTGCAGCTAGCAGCTAATAAACCCGCGTAATAAGTTCTGAGACCTTGTTTAGAATGAGGGTCCAGGTGCGAAGCGTTTCTCAATGGGACGAAACCAAAGGTGAACAGAATTTATGTACATGGTATATGTGCATCAGTAGGCTCTCACTATTGGAGATTGCGATCTGTTTCAGTAGATGGGGCGAGTCAGGCTTATGCAAGTCTCACATTCAGAACACCTCGATTGTTTGTAGGTGCTCATTGATTGGCCAGCAATAGAGGTTGTAGGGCCACAGCTGTAGATCTCTATTCCGTGCGTCTTTAACAATGTCATCGGCCCTATATGGTGATCGCCATTCTATGGAGTGCACAATGCAATACTCAGCTGATCTCACGAACACTAACAACATTATCATAGTCTATGAACTTCCCTACAAGGGGACCTGATGAACATAGAAGTCTCAGTGACAGCGCCGGAAAGCAAGCCAACACGTCATACTGACTATCAATATACAGATATAGTAATGATCGGAGAGAGATCAATGAATCTCCTTGAATAGCGTGTCGGCGGGGCCGATCCCAAAGACGCAGCGGATTGCTCATATTCAGCCAGCCACTTCACAGTACATGCAGCGGTACCTATATACCATAGCTGCCTTATCGTTTGCCAAGGCAAATACTTCCACTTTCCTCCACCAGAACGACAGCCAACCATTTAACTTCTGGGGCATGGCGCACAATTCTTAGATAATTCTTCCAGGGGTGATGGCGTTCATGTGTGGAGAGCTGTTGGATACAATCATGATACTCCAATAAAACAATAGGCCAAGATGTTTTTATGATTTCCCAGGAATTCTAAGTGGACCTCTTCTCAAGGCAAAACGCAATTTCACTGTCATTATCACCGCTTATCCTGTGGGGCACGTTGCAAGTGAGAATGTACCAGGCTAGAAAGGGTAATGTTTAGCTAAACCAACAATGATGATCAAACCACCAATTCTACTCCTTTACTGCTAGAAAGAGATTCAATTAGTATGCCTAAAATGCCTCATTCAGAAGCAGTGTTCTTTGCAGTGCACCGTATCTCCAGTGCAAACCCCGCTGAGGTTAGTTGATCTAGCGTTCTGTCCTCTAGATCCACTAGGAGACAAAGTACCTGGACCTGGAAGTGAGGCGAGCGAATAGAGCAAAACCTCAGTGCCAGAGACAAGTTAGAAACTATCTACAGAGAACCCGAAAGGAGGCGGACATTATTGGTAGTTGGGTGGTGTGGAGTGATTTGTGGCTGGCTGCGGAATGGTCCGTAGCACACGCTCCGCTGTATCTTGTCTGCATTTTGGATATTCGAATATACGCGTCACATGGAAACACCTACAGCACTTTTCGCGACTGCAGATATGCAGGATACTAAGGGGGTTCCGACTTCTTTGACTGGATCGAACGGAGGGATCGCCGATGAGATGAAGAACGCACTAAATTGCTGATCCTGATTCAAACTCGGCTTAGTTCTCGTCTTTTCTCCACAGCAGAAGACAAATTTCAGTTCTAAGCGTCCTGTATAATTTATGAGTGATGATTCCTCCACCACATAAAATTCGAAGGCTACCTTAGGTTAACGGCAAGGGCGCCCTATCCCAAGCGTCGTCAGACTTTGCCCAGCCACAGCGCCACAGCCAGCATATCCAGTGTAGCCGAGGCACCTCCCCTGTGGCTTAGCTACAAGTAAGTGTATAGTTATATAAAGCCTAGTCTATATTTGAAAGGGTGAGCGGGTTCCCTGACAGAGCAAAATGTCGTAGATGTGGGCTCAATATAGGTAGAGAAGCGTGATCCTCGTTAAGTCATGGACACTATCGTGGACATGACATGTGTGATCAGAGCAGTCTGGGGGTCGTCGCTTGTGTGTAAGATTTCATGAACATAATTTGCTGTCCGAAGAGCATAGAGAAATGCCCGAAGCGATGACATGCCTGAGACTATACCTCTCTATATGCGACAAATAAGAAAACGAGCAAAAGGCTTTTAGCCCTTCCTATTACACAAACAAGTGATCTCTTAAACGGAATGGATGTGCCTCGGTGTTGCTAGAATATTTGTGTAAGCATAGGTAATCGGCCCTGAGTGTAGATGAAAAGGGGAAAAGAGTAGGAGGGGGATTCTTACAGGACAAAATTATCCAAACTAACAAGATCAGGCTCGCTGAATAACAGATAAAAGTATTTCAACGTCTCCGCTAACCAAAAGCTTTCCATAGAGTCATCCTGGCTCGGTTTCGCATCTGTAACATCCCTGATGCGTGCGTTCGCAATCGGTGTCTTGGTATGCTTCATGATTGCCTGGAACATGCTCCAGCCTTTCTCTTGCCAGATCGGGTTGCCCGTAAGACGATACATAATAAAGACGGACTCGATTGCCTCAGGGCGCAGCTGGTAGCTCGAGTCCGAGATTTGCGTGAAGCCGTATCCATGTCCTGGTTCGACGTGGCCCTCATCCGTCCATTCACACGAACCTTCGGAGGGACACTCATCGATGGAAAAGATCTCGGGCATGATCCCGCTCGCCGTGTTTTGGTAAGCCCAGACGCAGCCTTCGGTGAGTCTGATTGCTATGGCGAGTTCCTCAGGTGAATCATTGATCCGGGCGCCCAGGCCCACCATGCCACCTACGAAGCAGGCCAGATGCTGGACTTCCGTGCGCAGAGCCGGTTGTCCATTGCCTCTAGCGTCCAGCGAGCCCGGGAAGAGAATATCCTGACCACCAGGAGTTTTGGGACGGAAAAAGTGATATTTCACAGCACTATCAAGGGCGGTCCGATACATCTGTAGGTATTGATCCGTTTTGCCGTCAAGTAAAAGATGTTCCTTTTCCGTGTTGGTAAGTCATGAATATCCAATGAGGAAGCGCTTCTAGGAAGACCATCAAATGGTATTTACCTTTGGTAAATACTCGTACAACGAGTCCGCCCAAGCTCCCAACGTGAAGGCCGAACCGCCGAAAGAGGGACCTATCGTGTCGACTTGAGAAGGCCAGAGGCCTGGAATAAGGGTGTTGTTTTGCGCATGATCTAGATGGTCTGTAATCCTGGAAATCCCATCAAAGTACTTTTGTTTCCCTGTGAGCTGCGCTAGCCGGGTGAACTCGAGTGATAGAGACCCTATATGGGCGTCAGTATTTCTCACCTACATTGAGGCTCTGATCCCGCCCGTTCTCACCTATCTGTGCTACCAGAACTCCCGCCTCCCCTTCCAATCCCTGATTTCCTCTTTGCCACCAGTAATAAGGCACTGGGATCCCATTCGGCGTGTCAAACGCTTGAAATAGGAATTCCCCCAGCTGATCGGCCTTCTGAAGAAGCAGTGGGTACTTTCCACCACTCACATCGTATGCCCCTAACAAGCCACCCAGGTATCGAATTGTGGTCTCGAATACCGGCACGCGCTCGGCATTAGGCCTGGAAAAATTTATTGAATTTAGGGCTTCCAGCGCACTGTCGAACTCGGCTTGCAGCCCCATGATATAAAGCGAGTCCAGCCCGTCTACCAAGGTCGCTGCCCATCCCACAAAGGGGTCTCGGTGTCCGCCTGAAAGCGGAGTCACCTCGTCATGTAACCATGCATATTGCTTATACCCTTTCCAGGCGTGCAGAAATGCTTGACGCACCTGCTGCTGGCGGTCTTGTCGAACGCGTTTGGCGGAACCGCTTTCACCCTGGAAGCTGAATTGTATGCGAAATTTCGATGAGCCATTCGCGATTAGGTCTTGTTTTGTGTGCAGTGGTAGGAAAAAAGACAACGTTATGAGCAGAACCACGGCGAGGGCGACGTGGCGCATTCGTCGAAAGGAGGGATATGGGGCAGGCCGAAGACGGAGGCGGCGCAATATTCGATTCATGGTCGAGGGCGGCCGCCGGTGTAGGTGCGTTGTCATCAGGGGGGGGATTCGGACGACGAGAATAGCTCGTAGCCCATTTCTCTTTAGTGAAACAAGAGCTGCACAGAAAGGTAAGAGCCCATCGGCAGGAAGAGGTTGGGGGGAAGTCGTTGATCCTGATCCTTTAATGTCCTTGGCAGATCACGTGACTGGTAACTCGTGGGGAAACCAGGTCCTCAACTGACCAGATGATGAAGTGTCACATCAAGATTGGCATATCACACTTGGCCGTCTGAAATTGGCTCAGTTGCTTATTGGTGGTTAAAAAAAAAGGTCCTGCAACCTGAGTGTTTCTCCGAAATCCTCTCATCACAGCTGCGAAGTGATGCTGACCTCTCAAATCTACTCGTTGGTCCCAGGGTCCT